TCTGTGGTTTGTAATTATCAGAGATGCACCTTCTTGAATCACTGATTCTAGCAAAAAAAATCCAGATAAAAATCTTTATTGCATGTGATGTGAAAAAGTACAGCTTTTTGAATTTTTAACATATTGGGAAAAAAAAACCTAGAAAGATTTTGTTGAAAAATCCCTATTAACCTTGGTATAGATCCGCTCACACTCTTCTTCAGATTAATCACTTTTACACATTATGCAAGAAATATTTAACTTATTTTTAAAATTAAGAGATATTAAGTTCATGCACCACTTAAGTGTGCACACTTACAAGCATACACACGTTTGAAGATGCTTGTCTCAATAACAGGTCTAAGAAAACCTTATAAAATTAATATGAGGTATGAAAGAACACTGAGCAGTTAATTTTTTATTCTCTGAAAGAGAAAAAGTGACACTGCTATTAGCAACATTCATTACTTGTCAGTCAAAGGTGTAAGAAGTAGCCGAGGGGTATTTCCCAAATACTCGTAAAAGTCCTGAAACTGAGCATCACCAGTGATGCCAAAGCACTGTTTCTGGGCATCATCCCATCTATGGTGTAGACGTGACAGCCAAGCAAAACCTCATGAACTGGTGACCTAAAAAGCCACTGCAGAGTCATTATGCCTTGTAGGAGCTATTCAGATGAAAGCAATGAGACACATCACAAAGCTACAGCTGTCATCAGTAGGTCTCATACCTCATTCCTCACCATTTATGAGTGGTAACTACTAGAATCAATTATAAAAGATTAAACTCACCTTGAGGCATTGGTGATTTTATACAGCTGGAAATGTATCATAAGATCTTTGTAATAGAGCTATTATAGCAAAGTACATTACTACTTATTAAGCCAAAACCCTTACGAACCATGCTGTCTTCACATTGAAATGGATGTTGCTTTTTACTAGATCAAGTCTAATTTTGCTTCTTGAGTTTCTTTTTGGCTTGATGCCATTTTAGAAATCCACTTTGCTTCATTTTACAGCTTTCAAATCTGTGTGTCTTCAATGTTTCCATTTAAACAGCAGCCAACAGTGTGTCAGATGGTGTAAGCTGTAACACTAATCTACAGGATGTGACTGGAACATATACCTGAGGCCATAAGAACCCCTGACCAAATTTCTATGCACTATGTTATGAAATTGTAATAAGTAAAATCTCTGGCAAAAAATAAAGTCATTGAAACCTCTCACCCTGTAGTGAAACTTGCTAGAGAAACACTGGAGGGAGGCACTGTTCTCATATGCTTTCTTGGGTACAAAAGCATTTTGAAGAAATCTGAGGCTCAGAAGGTCAGAAGAGAAATGAGAATTATTTCATATTTCAATCCCCATCTAGTGAAACCTTGCGTGGATACAAACTAGTAGCATGTGACAGCCACCTTAATTGTTGCATCTTAGTTATACTTGGAGAGAGCATTTTGATTAAAGCAAGCATTCAATATTGTATGTGTATGTACTTATAGTCACCACAGGAAAAGATTATCTTGTTCTAGAAATTCACATATATGCCTTTAAAAGGAAAGAAAACACACTGTGAAAGTCTGAAGATGGAATAATTAAGACATAATAAAAACTTCAGAGTGCTTAAGGATCATCTGCACTCCAGGTAATTTCTCTGGGCTTCCTCTTTTTTCTGTAGCAAATCATGATGATGTACTAACGCAATTATAAGGGATACACCAATAGCAGCATTTTGTATGAAATTGCCTAGTATCCCAAAATGTTACAGACCTTTTTTCTTTAAAAAAAAAAAAAAACAAACACCAAAACTCCACTTCTCCATTGCTGGGGTCCAGATGCTCATTCCTAACCCACAGTCCAGCAGTCCTCAGCACAGATATTGTCCAGACAGGAGGAAGTGACAATCTGGGACAGTGCTGCACTCTGCTTGCAGAAGAATCACCGCATCACATAGAGGTTCATTGTGCATCAGTCTGTCTTTCACAGAAGCTAGAAGATATTTTTAAAAAGGCACATGAGAAGCAAGCCCAGGAGATGGATACTGCAGGAATAGTATAGCACATCAGCAAGCATTTACTAAAACAAAATAACCACTGCCACCAAAATAAAAATGACCAAACAAAGCAAGACCTTAAACCAACCAGAAAAACAACAATCCCCCAACACACAAAAAACCACACAAGAATCAATAACCCAAATACTCACTGCATAAAATCACACTACCTGTTTTATCATCATATTTAATTATCAGTAGTGGAAGTGTGACAACACTTTTTTTGACCTTTTAAAAAATAACTTGTCATTCTGTAGCCAAATGTTCTGTATTTTGAACTGTACACTGTGTGAAAGTATTTCTTTTGTTTAAGCCTGCTGCCTAATAGTTTCAGGTAACACCTTTTAGTGCTTGCATTGTGAGAAACAAAGTTGAGTGAACAAAGATTAACCTTCGTTCACATTCTCTATTATAGGGATACATTTTAGGTAACTCTAAAGATAAAGCTCAGATAACTCCTTCCCCTCCTTATGAGCCTCCTTCCCATGTTGCATATCCACTTGGCAGATTCTCCAGGTAGGGAGAAAAACAAACAAAAAAAAATAACCAAAAAACCCAACAGAACTACCTAAAGTTTTCAGAGAAAGAAAGAATATTCATACCAGAACAGAAGAAAAATTCATATATCAGAAACTACTCTTCTGAAGCAGGTCTAACTTAAATAGTGGTTTGTCACAAACAAAACCAACAGTTTCTGTTCCTTACACAAATGCATGGATTTAACATTTGGTGCTTGCGTACTCTGTTCTTGCTGTGCTAGTGTGGTCAACTCTGTTAGTATCTTTTCTTTTATCTTTCATCTCAGGTCAGAATGGACTCATGGAAAATCCAGTAATCAAGATGTGATAAAAACACTCATGAGATAACAGAAATGACATGTTCATTTATTTCCCCAGTACATACTAATGGCATTTGATTTACTGTTGGGTTGAAAATCTTACGTCTTTTCACGAGATCATTTTCACACTGTGCAGATTTTCACTGAATTAAACAAAAAGAAGGTATGCATACATGTTTCTTATGGTAATCTTCAGGGATAACCCATGCCCTCTTCCAGTCTAGAGAATGCATTTGTGGATCTGAAACCCATCAGATTTGTGAACCCATAAGTTCAACCTGGGCTGAGTAGCCAAAAACCCAGTGTTCCCTGTGCTTTTCTTCATAAGTCTCCATGATATAGGGACACATTATTTTTTGTACAGTTTCATCAGGGTATTGAAACTGAGAATCTACCTTTTGATAAAAAGAAAAAAGCATAAACCTGCACATGTAGTATAAATGCTACAATCTATACTGACAAAATAGGAAGCTCATCGCATTAACCTTTACAAAGGATACTATTTACATTAACATTCTTTAAAGACTTGAACTGAGAGGTTGTTGTTGCTCTTTTTTCCCCTTTTTCTCTCTCCACGCTGTCTCTTCAGTAGGATTTAATTCTCAGGGAGTCTTTTCCAATTACTGGGATAGCATTGTTTTAGTTTATATATCCATTTGGTGTAAACATACAGCGATATAATCTTTGAGCTCCAAATGTAAAAGTCTGAGTCGCATTGTTCTGCAGACAGCGTAAGCACAAACAATACAGTCTTTCCTATTTCCATGCACTCAAATGTATCTTGGAGAATCCATCTTTAGGAGGAGAACTGCATGTATTTGCCCATTCAGACTGTGGCCTCCCTGCTGAGACTATCAATCATTAGAACCACATGCAAGATTGATTTTATGCAATGTGAATGCCTATCCATTCAGCACTGTTGCGGGAACAATACATTATTGTCTCAGAAGCTGCTGATCTGTTCTTTCTGACCTACTACTAGCCAGTTAGCATACATACTGGATGGCTAATTAGCAAACAAGAGGCTCAAAAACAGCTGATATTGGATACGGGTGAGAGCTGGAGGTCTGGAGAGGTATGCCTTAAAGGATAAGAGGGGAAGGGATTGGAAAATTATTTAAGATGAAAGGAGGGCAGAAGAAGAGAGGAAGTATGAGAAATGCAATATTCAACCAAAAACTTCATTAGTTCTGTGGTTTTTGGTAAAATTTTTCTTTTCTGATTGTTCCTAAACACTTAACCCTCTATCCTTCTTCATAAAATAAGGGGCAACTAGACAATTCATTCAAATATTAGTTCATTAGGCAATTTTGGGCCTTGTAATTATAACAGTGATATTTTGAAATTTGGAAAAAACAGCTGTAAGTTTTTAAATTTCTTTATGTTTCTAAGAACTGACATTTCATGCCAGCCTATATCCCAAAGGAGAGAAAAATCCATGAAGTAAATTCCACAGAACTCAGCACACCTGACTGTTGCAATTGCACCTTTCGTGGAAAGAAACATACTCCTTTTGTATGTCGTACATTACAAGGGCAGTGTTTGTTTGTTGACATTTAAGATCAAAAGTTTTGTTCAAAAGTCTGTAAGATGATGAGGCACCTGCACCAAAAACTACCAAAGGCAGAAAGAAACCATTTGCCTTAGATTTGCCTCAATCGCTCTACTTTTACACATATTTCTATTAAAGCAGTTGTTAATGACGATACTGGGAGTTGTCAGAAGAGTCTAAATGTCTAAGATAGAGCAGTATAAAACTGAGAAGATTTAAAATCATTATTAATAATTGCTGAATCATTAGTAACCGTTAGTGTTTATTTCATGAAGATTTGTTTATTCAGGTATAAATACCTTGCAGAAAACACTTCTAACTGAGGATTTTGAAGACCATGCTGGTGTGTGGACAGAGAGCTACTCTTGAGAAATAGAACAAAAGATTGTTTGCCTGATCTCCTCCTCATATGTGGCATAGAGCAATTAGTAGATGAAGCAAGCCACTGAAGTTTATTATTTAAAAGAATCTGTGAGAATCCATGATCCAAAAAGACTCAGTGTTCAAGCCAGTCAAGTGCTGGAAAAAATTTCAATACTTCTGTTACATGTCACATCCCTTTTAAAAAGAAGTTGTGCTCGAGGCATGCCATTAATTGTAGTACTCAGAGAACTAACAGCCATAGATGGTCATCACTGAAGCCAGGAATATCACCTAGCATGTAGATAACAGTATAAACTTCTGAAAAGCAAAGTGCTTGTGCTTTAAAACAAATTGGTCTCAAAATGTCAGAAAATGTAGATTATTATTTAGGAAAGGATAACAGAAGGATAGCTACAAAAACATCAAAAATATCTCATATAACAATCAATCCCAATTGCTAACAACATAGCAAAGATCATTTATCTTTCAGCCTTATCATCACTAAACACTGCAGGTCTGAAAGTTGATCAGTTAGCACTAGAAGTAGAATAGATTTGATCTCATTGGAATTTTCCAGGTTAACTCCTGAAGACCGATGATACAAGCAAATGCAACATAGCTAAATTTCCGGGAACAGAAAGCACAGGATTTATATCATCTCCTCAGAATGATGGTGCAATCTATAAGAAATACAGAAAGTAGAACTTACACATTTCCTTTCCGGGAAATGAAACAGAACATGTTCTTCGTACTGGTTCAGACCAAGAAGTCTAAGAGAGTGAAATACAACCAGAGAAATGAGAAGGTATGTTTGGCTATGTGGAAACTCCCCTCCGATATTCCAAACAGCCCAGTTTTAGAAATCAAGGCATAAGAAGACTTCATTCTTGACAGGGGGAAGTTATTTGCAGATAACAGAAATCTGAAAACAAACAAAAAAAAATACAAATCACTATTCTAATGGGAGAGCAAAGTGAGTGTTCTTCCTAAGATATATACATTTTCATGTATGAAGAATAACAAAATGAAAACACATACTAATATTGACACTGAAAGTATTAAGACTCAAAGCTCTCAATTTCATGCCTATCTTAGCAGAAAAAGATAATAATTGTTCATGCATAACAAAGAATGATGCTCAAACCAAGTGGTAGGTTTTGTTTTCATTTTTGTTTTAAATTTCTTATGATTGTTTCCTCAAAGGAGGAAAGAATATCATTCCTTCAAATATCATTTCTCTACAGGATGAAAGATTGATCATCAGTGATGAACTCAAGGCATGCTAGAAATTGTACTGGAAGAAGACGTTTGCAGTACAATTCAGTACAATTCATGTCCTGCTGTAAGCAGGAAAGAAAGACTCCCAATCCCAATTTGGGAGTGAGGAGAGAGTGAATTAAATTCAAACTGAAAGAATTTTTAAGGGATTTGACAAAGTTTTACAACATGAAATCCATATTTAACAAAACAATTCTTCAAATGTAACTGATCATCTGAAAAGCAGTACTAGTTCAGTACGTCAGAAAGCAACAAAAGACAAAAAATTATCATATAAATTTATATATAGACAAAAAACAACCTGACTTAACAGCTCATTTCCTGACTGTTCCTGTCAGTCTTCCAAAAAAGTCATAACTCTCCATAAGTTTTGTCTCCACAGCAAATCTTCAACTCTTGTTTGGTGGTAGCTTCTATCACATTTTCAGTATTCATTGTATTAGTCACTAACTTCTGAATAGAGTTAGAAGAAAAGTAGTTGCAACATGTGGAATAACACTCAGATTTGTTTCCATTTCATACCTTTTAGTATACTAGGAAAAAGAAAGTAGAGGGAAAAGATGTGGAAGAAGGCGCTTCATCAGCTTGTTTGAGATCTTATTTCTTGAGTGTCAATAAAGAAAATCCACAACCATTTATGCATTACAATGTTTAGACTGAACATGAAGGAAATGAAAAGGAACTCGGATAACTACCATTTGATTATGCTACTAGATCTCTTCTAACAAAATAAAAATGACAGATCGCAGAGAGATGCATTAACTTGCATGACAATTCTGCTTATGTATGTAAGATCAGTGCTTTTCTCAACACATGCCATGAAGAAATTTGTGCCTGTTAAATGCCATAAATAATTTCATCATTCTTGACAAGAATCTAAACTAGCCCAAAGGTGAGACTGTAGAATTTGTGTGTACAGTTAGGTATGCTGCAGCCCACATTGTTTACATTGCAGATTAAAATAATTAGAAATTCACTTAATGTTTTAAATGTAGAATATCCTCCTGATGTGATCGTTATCTTTTCAGAAGTTCATATAGCGAACACTCACAGATTTGTCTGACATACGTGGAGTGAATCATAGGTATGTCGATAACACAAGGTCTTCTCTTTACTCATCAAGATTTCAGTGACTTTTTTGGTTGGAATGAACAATGAAGATCTGGTATTTCGTCAAAAGTGAAAATGTTTAAGCTAATACAGAGCCATGTCTGGCAAAAGAAATTAATTACATCATAACCTTGTATTTTACTTATTGCTGTCATAAACGTCAAAGAGATTCACAGAAAGGATTTCTGCAAATCAGAATATCATCTCTTTGTGCAACTACAGGAGATTAAAAGCTAATGAAGGGTAAATAAAAGAAGATTATAACAAAATTATAAAAATAAAAATACATTAATAAAAATAATTCATCAAATATTGGAACAAGGGCTAAGATAGTTTCAAGAAATTGTCTTGTTATTATTGTATACAATAAGAAAAGACATTTTTAAATGCTGCAAATGGACAGCATAATATTAAGTGATTTTTAACAAAATCTAGAAAAACATAAGATGGGAAAGCTGCAGTTTTTATTAACTCCTACATGAAGATAAGAATGTTCTGAGAATACACATAGTTACATAGCACATATAATCTCACATGAATAACATCTGAAGAAAACAAAAGTCACTGATAAAAATTCAGGAAAAAAGTTTTTGACTTGAAGTGTAACAAGGGAGGGAATAATAATGATATACTAATCATATTTCTATCAAGTCCTTACTTGATTGTAATCTAGAGTCCCAAGCAGCTGATCAGCTGACAAATAAAGCAGCTCTGTTCCTGTGATGCTCTTCATAAGAAAATTCCATGGCAGCCCACATTCAGCTTGTTCCTGCCAAAATCCGAGAACAAGAAAAGTAGTTATAACCTCTGTTTATACATATCACATTTCATATTTTGAAAACTTTAATTAAATTGTATTCAGTGCACAATGTTGTAAACTACGCTGCATACAAAAAGCCACTGAATTTTGCTCACATGAAACTATTCACTTGTATCATGAATTTCCTGTAATAAAATCTAATCAAGATAGCAATCTGTACATACTTTTCAATGGAAATAGAAGAAGACGGACACCACTCACGTTTCAAGTACCCAACTTGAGCACAGCTCTGTGAACTATACCATGGATTTCTTCTACTTTATGGAGTCCCAGAAGATCTGTCAAGATAGTATCTTCTATACTAATAGCTTGACCTAGAAAGCAAACAATAGCAGATAGCAGAATGAGTAAATGGGTAAGAAAAGTCACACAAAAACACATAACAAAATGTCCAATGGAATACAAGTGAAAAACACTGAAATATTATATGCACTCTAGATACCAGATATGCTGCCATCTTTGCACCAAAACTTTGAACCTGATCAGCCTAGATGAAGTATTATTTTGACACTGTTCCTTCATTTTTTTTTTTCTTTTCATTTTGAAAGTCTATTTATGATATTCTCTGTGTTTTTCTATTAAGACATAGCACATATCATACCACTAAATGGCGAATTTATTTGAACAGCTACAACAAAAGTTGAAATATGCTATAGACAGATACAGTATTTCACAGTAGAAATCTTATAGGCTGGTGAGGGTATTTGCTTTTTTTAATTTTTCCTTTTTAATTTTTTTTACTGCCTGGCCACTTCAGGGCTAACCAAAAGTTAAAGTATATCATTGAGGGCATTGTCCTAATGCCTCTTGAACATTGACATGAAAAGGGCATCAGCCATCTCTCTAGGAAGCCTGTTGCAGTGTTTGACCACCCAAACAATAAAAGACATTTTCCTAATGATTAGTACCTTGCTGATAATAGAAAAATTGAAGAAGTTTGTCAGAAAATCTATTTTCCTTTTTCATATGTAGATGTTTGGGACAGATGTAGTTAGCATAAGACTAGGGAAGAATTCACTGGGGTCATTACTTTATGTGGTAAATAAATAAAGGCTCTGGAAATGTACTTTCTGGTATGGCACTTTAAATAATGAAGCTGTTAATATTGTATCTTCACAGTGATTATGTGACTCGAGCTGGATCAAGCCATTTACTTCATCACAGCTCCAATTTAAGTAATTTTCCTATTTATTTTTTCACTTCAGATAAAAACATTCATGAATTTAATGTATCCAAATCTTTCATTCACAGAGAGTTAAGGGAGATGCCTGCGTACACCTGAAAATGAAGAACATGACAAGTAATCAGCTTGTGAGCATCACTGGTGTCCATCATCATCTTCCCTTTTCCATAATCTGGAGCATGGGCCATAGTGAATGATGTGAAAGTAGAAGAGCAGTGCATCGATCTTAGCTCTATCCTTGCCTTTATTACTCCAATCACCCCTGGTATCACAACTGGCTGTGTGAAGCTGTATCATTTTGAAGTGGTTTAGGACAAGAAGTCTGCTGTAAGTGAATTCTTTTAAAGCACTACTAATTGGGCATGCAATTAAACCTCCTCATTTCTGCATGTAACAAGTGCATAAATAAGAACTATCATGTCCTCTTGGTTTAATATTTTCTTCATTCCATACTGAAGTGTTACACTATCTGTGGACCGCAATTATTCCTTTACCGTCCTGCAAATATTCAGGGGGACTCTGTTCTAATTTTCACTTATTTCCTCCCTTGTTCTATTAGAATTGATTTCTTCAGAATTACTACCAGCAACCACAGCAAATTCTTCAAGTGAAGAAAATGTCCTCCCTTTGAAGTGGAGCATCTTTGCTGAAGCTATGGAGCAAATCCAGCTACTCTGGACCTGAGGGAAGAGCAGGTAAAACTCCTAAAACCCTATTTGTCTCAGAAAATAACGATTTTCATTTGGTCATTTCTTAATATTTCATTATGCTTTCACACACTGCCCAAATAAGAAAAGTGGCAACATGGCTTTACCATATTCTTCCACAGGGATTAGAAACTCAGCCAGAAAATACTAAATTTTAAAGGAAAGCTCCAAACCAAACCAGAACATTCAGTTTGGACATGAGCAACAAATCCACTGAAGCATCAAAGTGGGTGGGAAGAGTGAGAAAGGGGTGTCACCAAGACAGATAAATTGTAGAAGCTGACAGCTACAGAACTTGCCTTGGCAAATCATCTGATCTCTATATCCATCTGTTCCCCATTAATCTGTCTCCACTGGGTTTTAGTCCAATCATCAATGCTGCTCTGAAACAGAAAGTACAGATAAAAGTGTCAACAACATTTGGTAAAAACAAGCTTCTGCTATATATAATCTGCTATAACAGATAGATGGATGCAGAGGGGAGGTCTAGCATGCAGAAATACCTCCTGGACTTTATTATGTTTTTTCAGCCCTGCACCACCGCTACCTAGAAAGCACACCAAATATTCCATCTTCTTGAAATCCAGCTCAAAATCCAAGCATCCACATTACTTCACCTGTCAATTTCTGATAGCCTTCTGGCACTATGTGTACATACTACTAAATACACTCAGATCCACAGGCATTATGCAGAAGTAGCTGGACTATTTGAGAGAAACCACCCTGTTTCCCCTTCATGACAATATACCATATTTTTAACCCTGACTATGAAACACAACTTCTTGAGGTAAATAGTACTTCACAAGGCTGATTTCCTACTCACACTATTCTGGAATGAAGATCTAATTGAGATATAACCACTGGTGAAGTGATCTTGCTTGTAACCTTCTACAGTTTTCTCACGAAGAATTCATCAATTCTGAAGTGGAATTTTTCTGGCTCTTCTAATTTCTATTCACTGATTTTAACTATTCCAGAAAATTATCAGAATCTAGCTTAAAGTGAATCTGCAATATTTTGAGTTGTCTTGATATTTACTAAACTGAGATTAGAGAAATTTTTAATCTGTTTATCTGAAAATATAGCAGGAAGATTGCAAAACCAAAAAGAATGATGTATTTCAGTATGATTTTTTAAAATCAAAACTATAAACACTTCTAGGAGAAAATTAAGAATGTAGCATTCATATAGCATATATTAACTTTATAATTCTTTCTTAAAAAACCTGCATTAACATAATCATTCATATCCCACCCTTTCTTGAACAACTGCATTTCTTTCTACCATTTGACATTCCTCTGATTTTGCTTGCAAAGACTGATTTGCTTGCCAGATAATTATATTGGAATGGATGTGGGACAGAACATACGCAGTAACAAATGGCTAAGATACCTGAAAATACTGTTTGATTGACATTAAATCCCAGGTTTCGTATCCACAGCTAATCAGAGTCCCAAATTACTGCTTAAAGGAATGTAAACAACATCAAAAATGGAGATTTTGTATAGCTAAGCTTCTACAAGGAGACATAAATGCCAAACATGATTTTGCCAGTAGAAAAAAAAAAAGTTAAAAAATTACTACAGACCTTCTCAGAACAAAATGCAACAATGAACTAATTGCCATCATCCACATAAAACAAGACATTAAAGGAACCTAATAAAAACTAATTGCTTTATACCTGGCATTTTAGAAGGACAGAAAAGAAGAATGGAATTATTTTACAACTCTGAGGTCAAACATTGCTATATATACACATATGTAAACATGGAATATTACTCTTCATACACTACCTCTACTGGATACAAACTTGGTCTGGCATCTTCTATCTGTAGAACAGATAGAACAGTGCAACAATTCTTTTAAAGGTTCAAAGGGTTTACTAGCAGCTGTCTGCCTCTCTTTCACAGCTAAGAGGTGACCAGTGATTTCTGCCAGTGCATAATAATGCCTCTCTCTTTGAAGTCCAGCATGTCACTTTTATAAAGCCTTTGAAGTCAATCAGATTATCAAATAAAGAAAGGTAAAATTACAAGCAAACACTGCTTGCTGTAGTGAATAAACATGTACTAAGCTCTACTGGTCCTGCCATTGGCACTCATGTTGTAAAACTATATAGTTTCAAGAGAGTTTGAGTCCACCTTCCAGATATGGCAAGTACTACTGAGAATTAACACAAGAGGATTTGCGAGAACAATATTTAGGAAACAAAAGCAATCAAAAATAACCTTTAAAAAACTCTAAAAAGCAGCAAACACAGCTCAGTAGTACATGTAGAAGTATTACATACAAAGACTCCTATCTTACTATTTCGATAACACACTCCATTTAACCTGAAAATGACTTATCTTAAAAGATACTCCTTAAACATCCAGACCCACTTCTTAATAACATTTAGAAAGGTTATTTTGAAAGTCTGCATTATCACCCTAAAGCAGCTTTCAAAAATTCTTGAGACTTCAGACATAGTCATCTGAACGCAGAGATTTTCTTAGATATCAATCTAAAGCAGAAGAGAGAAAAACTTGCATATACATCTCCAAATTTTTCTTACTAAACAGCCAGTTATTAAGACTAGTTGCTTTCTTGCCTGCTCTTTACACTGTGTAGTGGTGGGAGGCCAGCAAGAGACTTCAGATGTAAGAGATATCTCTGTGGGCATTAAACCATGATCACAAGGAAGAAATTGTCTTATAAACTCAGGCTGGTCCTCTAGTCAGAGATAAGCACAGTTATCATGAAATCTTCTGTACACCAGGTCTTTGTTGGTGACACTTGTTACTCTCTCCATACTCACGTTTTATTATTTCAGTAACAGAGAAACTGTAATAGCAAATGGTTAAATTTGTACTCATACATGAATGAAAGACTGGAATTCCATATATTTTCCCTAGAAATCTATTAACAAGAAAAATTAAAATTCACTGAGCTCTTCCTTGTTTGAGTGTATACTTGCTGTATAAATGCACTAAACCAAATTGAATATATGGGGTAATGGCTTTAAACTATGAGGGTTTAGATTTAGATGACATATAATAAAGAAACTCTTCACCCTGAGAATAATATTGTGAGGAGACTGTGCGTTCCACATCTTGAATGCCTCAGACCTGGAGGTTGAATAAGGCCCTAGGCAGCCTGTTCTGGTGGATAGTAGCTCTGCCCACATGAGGGGGTTGGAATGAGGTGATCTTTAAAGTCACTTCTGACCTAAGCCATTTAAAGGCTATCAAACTCTACATATCTGTTTTAAGCAAATGTGCTACATATGATTCTGCTCATCAGTCTATTAGACATTCCCTTATTGCCATACTTCTAAGGTTAAATTTCTATTACTGACCTACAGATTTCAGCATGGAACAGAAATAGAGAGAGAAGCATTCAGCTAATTTTAATCAGCTTTGCGTAAAATGGACAACTT